GCTAATACTATCTAATATACAAGATATAATTAAAGTATTATAATATAAATAATTAGAAATATATTATATTAAAGTATATTAAAAGATATTAAAGAATATTAAAGAATATTAAAGAATATTAAAGTATATAAAAGAATATTGAAAGATATAAAAAGATATAAAAAGATATGAAAAGATATAGAAGATATGAAAAAATATTGAAGAATATCAAATAATAAGGAAAGATATTTGAGATCATTATTCAAGTATAACTGTCTTACCAAAATTAAAAATAATCTTTCATTATACTATTCTATTATATATATAAATATTATATTGGTAACCATTTGTAATTTAATAGCATCTGCCATCATGACAATCTCAATAAGATGAAGCTTATTGATCCATTTAAGAAGTTCTTCCTCAGCAACTGAATAGACTGAAATTTTTCCAGCATCAACATGTTGACTCGTTGATATGGTATTACTAAACTTTTCCTCATCACACACTCACCATGATACTATTGACTGATCAATACCTAACCAATATGCCACAGCCAAAATGCCAAACTTTTTAGCTTCATTAATAATGACAAGTTTTTCAGATGCTTTATATGAAGTTCTTTGTACGTGATCTTTGAATTTGGGCTGGATAATATTGGTAGAAGTATTGCTCATTTTCTCTTGACAAGAGAGAGAGAAATGGAGTATGAAAAAATTTGATCAAATTTAGAATATTGGAATGTTATGTATAACTAATTCGCTACATTTGTAGTGACTCAGAATTAATTTAACCATTGGGCTAATAGGCATTAAGTATTCAGAAAGTCCTGTGAATAAGTAATCCCCTCTAAAAATTGGCCTCCAAAATGATGATGTAGAAAGTTGCTTATTCACGGAACTTTACGGTACTCTTGAAAAATACATACATAATAGACTATATAATATTATTCATAAAGTATTCTTTATTTATAACTTTGAAGAAGAAGCCTTTGATAATAGATTTGAGTTTATACTAATCAAGTTATATCACTTGAATAAGAAAAAACTATTAAAGATTATTAATTAATTTTTGCAGGAGCAAAAATTTTCTAAAGGAGAATCATATATTACTATAGTAATATAAAATTCCTTAATTTCTTAATCTTTTCCTAGTTATGCAAAATTATATATTTCTATATTTTTTATTTATTTTATAATTATCCTTATTTTTATATTATTTATTATTATATTTATTATCATATTTCTATTTTTAAATATTATATCTTATTTAATATTCAGGATTTATATTTTTATTATCTTGTAATATGATA